GGACGACATAGCGGTACAAGTCGCCGTCTCCAGCCCTCAGCGCCGATCTCCGACTCGTATCTGCACGGTGGCAGGACAGCCAGCCCTCAGGTTCCCGCTATGCTCTGGTTGGAGACTGTAGACCCCGGCAAATCTGCTGGAAATACGCCGCAAATCGAAGGAAAACTTCCGACTTGCAGCAGCGACTTGTGCAGGGCGCGCAAACCAGCCCCGGCACATACCATGTCAACATCTTGAGGGGGTGGGATAACGTTACACATTGTAGGAAGGGAACGGCATAACAGAGATAAAGTACCGTTTCTAAATAAAATTCAGAAACCAACATCAACAGAAACACTTCTTCGAATCCCTGCATTTTATTCATACGTTCAAAACAATCTGCAAGACACTGCGATAAAAGTGGCTCTCTTTATCCTTATCGACCGTACCATTTCTAGCACAGGTGGGATCAATGAAGCAGTTCGTAATGATCAGGCCTGGGGGAAACTTTTCAGATAGTTTCGGTCAGGACAGGTGGCCTGTGAGACGCGCCCAGTGGATATCCTGTGTTACTTGTTGGCGTCTTCGAGTCCTTCCATCATTTTTGTGGCGTTACCTGTGGTTCTCTAGCTGCTGAATGGCAATCTGAGGATTCACACTTGTCTCCAAGCAGATGTTGGGGGTGAACTATCGTAACGTGAATTCATGTGTTGTACAGACTAGCATATGAACGATATATCCTCTCTGCATTCAGTAACAGATACCCTAAAATTATCTTTAAAGTCTTTCTAACATAATTATATTATGCATATAAATACAACGGGTACATTTAGCTCACTGAGAAAACCCCTACGTTACAATCAGTAATGCATACAGTGTCATACCACGGAGTTCATACATTATAGCACTCGAGCTCCCCTACGAGATGCGTGTCAAAGAATCATTGCTTTATACTAGTATCTATGCTCATGGTAATCGACAGTCTTCATAGGTGAGAATTGACATGCATGTTTTCTTCTTGCTCTTGTGTTGTGAAAGACAACTATTTTGTTTGTTTTTGCCAGCTCCATTATTTTGGGTTCGACTGATACAGATCACACGAGACAGTTGGACTGGGGTCTACAATGCGTGGGATTTCCGCTTCATATAATTACTCTCTCCCTTTTGTGCTATATTTTTCTTTCATTTCGTAAAGTTTTACTGTTATAAGATCCATCAGTTAGCATGGTATGCACAGATCTGTTTTATATACTTTCCCAAATACTCAAGTTAGTAACAAGTTGTGTATGTCAATAGATCAAGCTATAAAATAATCTTCTGGTGACATTTCTGTAATTTTCAAGTTTTTCTTATCCACAGCATAGGGATAACTAAGAATCATTTCAGTACATATTCATGTCTATATGCCTGACTACAATCAAGAAAAATTACAACATTTTGGTTTACAAACCAATGAGCATTGTGTAATACATATATAGTTTTAACTATTTGCACGTATTATATGTAATACAACGTTACGGTCTTCCACACCAACGTCAGCTTGAAGAATTTTGTATATTCAGTTATTCAGATTGCCTATCCATACACAAAACCCAGAAACCATGCATATGGCCTCTGACCCCCACTCTGCTTTCAAGTTACTTCTTAGGTCCTTTACACGCGGCTACTTTGCCTTGGCCTGGCCGACACAGGAAAGTGTCGAAGGGTGGCACAGGAAACAGGGTGTGGGCTTCTTTTTCTTTGTGTCTGGAACTTGAGGGAAATGTTTGGGGTGGGCCTTTTACGTTCTCGATCATGTAGCTGAGTGAATATGTGCCAAACAGCTCGACGGGAGCTTATATCATGTCGGGTGTGTCACAACCTAAATCTCAAGACGAAATAAGATCGATCTTGTCACATTCTGTAAATAATTATTGTCTCATATTGTCTCATATCAGCCTCTTTGTCGATGATAATTTAGCTCTACGAATTGAATTTGACAGTGTCCAACTAGACGTGTTTGTTTTGCTGGTGCTAATCTCTAAGCACATCTTTTAGTGGCTTCCGGTACAAGACAACATCAAATGGCAATAGCTGGAGGGTAGAATTGGCAGGGCAGTACCCAATAGGCTGACGATAACCAGTACAGAAAAAGAAAGCCCGATGAAACCCCCCATGTCAAAATAATCCGAAGCCTAAACCTCTGCTTACTTAGTAATGAACGATAGAATATTCTGCCACGTCGCACATGATGCCCTGGTCGTATCCTGAGACTGGTTGCCATGGATAGGATCCTGTCTAGAGTGACTCATTCCTTAGGGGTTCTTTCAGCCGCTGAGAGAATGCTATGGAGGCATCTTCAAGAAGATGCTGGATGGAAGATCGCAACCGTCTCCTGATTGCCTGTTTTCTCTTGTAGCTGTGCGTCGTGTGTAATCACACAGCGATCAAAACTGCTCTGCCTCCCACGGCAAAAAACGTGGTCATCGTATATCAACGCGGATCACGTTTAAACTTTAGAAGTAACCGTGCAAACTTGCTAGAGCTCGAGTTCGAAGCTGAAGAGTTAGTAAAAATACTAGTAATTATTTCTATCAGCTTGTTCAATAATGTATATGTGCTGACGTAAGCTAAACAAATTACAGGGCTTCACTAGATGACTTACTGCTGGTTTGACCCCAGCTCTTCCGAAGATCGAGCGAACATGGCGAGGACAAATGAGTGAGCAGGTGTGCCGAAGTATAGCAAACTCTTGGATCGATACTTATGAATATTTCAAGTTACAGGGGCCACAGTTGATCGTCCTGGGATGAACGCTTAGAAGCAGACTGAGTTGTATTCCGTTCGTTTTCCGTTCTAGACGTCCGACTAGTTATAAAGGCTGCTCACGGTTCGCTTTTCGTCGAGTATGGGAGATTTATTTCCATCATTCAGAGTGTTTCGGGCCTAGCCATAATGTCCTATCAATTGTAACTTGAACAGCCAAAGGAAAGGACTGTGATGACAGTTGCAGCTGGCTGTCAGTCGTATGCATTTAATATTCGCTGTGTGTGTTGTACAGGCTAATGTAATATGTAATATGTAATATGATACTGAAAGCAAGAAACTCTGAAAAAGTTATCCCGGCTCCCATCACCAGACTCCTTACGCTCACTGGCTGAAAAACGTTAACGCGAGTGTAAGCAGCATGTATGGAATCGGTTGGCACCAAGGCTATGCAACAGTCGCCCGGCTATGACATGTACAGACCGGAGGGAACATCCCATGATTGATCCTTAGCTCGTGCATCGACCTGTACTCCCATCGTGATCATATCACCGACGCATCCTGGTGCTTATAACGAACTTTAGTGCTTCCTTCTTTCGTTCTTTTAACTTTACGGTTAGAAGATCATTTGCCTATTTTCTTCATTGAGTCCATAGACCCTATAACCTTCCAACACAATCGTTCTTGACAACTAGATTTGTGGGGCGGGGGGAAATGACAAAAGATTGCACAAGAAAGGCTAACAGAATGCCAGAATATTGAGGCCAAAGTGTCGCAGGAATTAGTCCACTGACCCAAAATCACATCAACCCCCTTCTTTCCAACCTACCTGCTTTATTGCACAGCAGTAACGATATACCGCCCTGTGATTATTAGAGCGGGTGATCTAATTGACATAATTGATCATACATGCAGCGTTGATGGGATAATGAACCGTTTTTAGTGATTTTTTTTTTAAATGGAGGGATCATTAAGCCATTTCTTCATGTCTCTGTGACTTCAGAAAGAATTGCGACCGTCAGCGTTACGAAGGCAACAGTCAGCACTTCCGAAAGATTCTTAAAAAGTGACTGCGAGCCTTTTTTTTTTCTTGGAACATAGTTCCTGCCCTTGTTACAGTAAACCTTCGCTGCTGCCAGTTTTGTTGGTGCAACGCGACTGGTTCCCACCTTTATATGCATTCTCACTGAGGTTTTGGGTTGAGAAAAACCAACGCAGTGTCACTGTTTCCCTGCTGTGCCGTGAAGGTGGTTCTGTTGCTGAATTTAATATCCATAAAACTGCGCGCGCGCTATCACTGGCTTTCGATATCAAGAGCATGATGTCCTGTGTGATTGGGCAGGTGCCATTCTGAAACGATGTACTAGTATCTTCAACAATGCCACCCAGCGCTCTATAGAGTAACTACATCTTCTACTTATGGGAAAGGCGCCGGCAAGCATGCATTATTAGTGTCCTATATATATATGCGTTGTGTTGCCGTTATGATACAACTAAGAGAACGATGGTAGACTTCAAGTGTTAATCTTTTGTAGAACACTCAGATTTCTTGTTTGTATGATTCACAACGCAACAGATTCATAGTTTGGGCTTTGAAATCCAGCTATCTTATATATCCGCTCCGTTTTACTGAAGGCTAATGCAGAGCGAATGTAAAACGGAGAAGTTAACGTTTTAAACTAAGTTATGGCATTCACGGCTGTATTTCAGAGCTTTCAGGCTACTTTCGTCTAGCCTTTAAAGTTGGTACCATCCGGATTTTGGCTCCGCTACGCTCGAAAAAAGGGGGACTTTTTCCAGCGTAGCCGAGCTAAAATCCGGATGGTACCCAGCCAGGCTAACTTATGTCAGGCTGGGCTCTTTTACCACTGTGACCAACGTACTGCAGTTATCCCATCAAACGGTAGGTGACGTTCGTAGTACAGACCATCCAAGCGGGAGGTTTCATTCATTTTTTGTCGGAGATTCATGGACATATCGGACAGGTATGTGCACCATCTCTTTACGTCGTTTACGGATATATGCATGATCAGCTTCACAAACTCGGCGTTGAGAAGGTTTTTATCCGGCACAGCTCAACACTGATCTGCCCAGGTACCTAGGTAAGGATCGTGCTCCCCATAAACCACGCCTACCCTATGACCCTTAACCTTCTCACCTGCTTTATAAGCTACGTCAGCATCAGTGATTGCGCTGATTAATGACAGGGCGGGGCTTTAATGCCCATATTTGGTGGGTGGCTGACCTGGATTTCCATATATAGGCCGTGCCCCGGGATGATTGACAGCGAGCAGCTGTTGTCAATGTAATGGCGAACTTGGTCAACTGTGACTGGGCCGTGTTTGGGAGTTTGGAGTTCAGTTGATATTCTCACAACATAACAAGATCGCCGTCCTCCAGGCCGTCCAATCAACAGCTGAAGATGTAAGATTCTCGAAGAAGTTTGTAAAGGCTTCCCACGCCATTCTGATTGTCGCAAAAATCACTAACAATCGAAATGCGAGCGTTTGCAACTTGAGCCTGTTGCGACATTTGTTGCAAAATGGCCGCCACTTTAGTATCGACCGACCGGCAACACAGCGACTTTGCCTGGCGTCTTCCCGGCTGAGTGGACCAAGATTGGAAGCGAATCATGGAGGACAAGCACAAGGAACTACTGCAGCTCCACCGTGCCAAGTTTGTAGAATGTGTGAAGGTGGAGAGACTGTGGGAGACTCTCCAAGGGGCGGGGGTTCTGACACCCACAGACATATCCGACATTCAGAGTTCGGCTCAAGATGATGGGGGAAAAGTGGACAAACTTTTGGACCTCTTGCTTGAGAAGGGCTCCAGTGCCTTCCAGAATCTGTGTGTGGCCCTAGAGAAGACGTACCCACATCTGCTGACGGTCATGTTCCTCGGGAGCAACCAGGGGACTCCTACCGCAGGTTTGTAGGGTGGGAGGGGGGATGAAGACACACCGAACGGTCCAGCATCCTGATCTCCAAGCAGACGTTGTTCGGGTGTAAGGTCTTGACGTTTTCTGACGGCACGGCCACTGACGCTAATATTTGTGGACACTAGGTGACCATAAAGGCTAGTAACAACCTATTTTAGTTGTTGCCAGAGAGACCAGGCAGTCAGAAAACGTTACAAATCTTCCACCCCCCCAACATCTCTTGGGTTTGCCAGCATCCTAGGAGGACAGGGTGGGAGGGGGGCAAATTGCACAAATCCTTTTTTTGCAATTAACAACACAGGATTGTTAGTGATAAATATTTATTCAAGGATGATGCTAGACAAGGTGTCATATTCTGAAGTTATGACCTTTTATATTTCCAAGAGCTGGACATTTTATGGGGGAGGGGGGCAGTGGTAATGTCCTCATCCAGGAAGTGACCTCATGTTCATGAATAGATGAAATCGATGGAACGATGCACCTTTGATTGTCGTGGAATTCACTCCTCTCTTGTTCCTCTGCCTTGCACTTCTTTTGAATTACCTCATAATGTAAGTTACATACAAGCGATTGCCATGATGTCGGGCAGCAAGTCATAGGCAAAAACTAAAGGCGAGTGGTAGTTGGGTGATTTGCCTACTAATAATTTGTCTACCAGGAATTGATGTAAACAAAAACAGTGCTTGCTTGTATACCAATTCTATAGGAAACAATAATGTGGAGACTACGGGTAACAGTGATACTGGCCAGTATACACCTGGGCACCTCTTTTTGAAAGTTATAGTTGATTCAGGGACATGCTTGTAGTGTGGTTTTCCTGAAGTTATAAATATGAAGAGTACAAGTGTCTGTCTGTCTTCAGAACTCTTGTGAGCTGACATTAGTCACCATTACACTGCACCACACGGCACCCCCCTCCCTGTCTGACTTTGTTGGATGATGTAATCTGGAACATAAAATGTCGGCCCTCCCCAAAAAATTGAATTGTATACCTGGCTGGTAGATGTCACCTGCCAATACCTGGTAAAACCAGGAAGTAGATCAGTTATAGTTTCTGTTCATGTAATCCACAGGCTTGGCTGAGTTGTGAATGCGACAGAGACCAATCTTATCATGTACTTTTTAATGTCTAAGTCTATCTGAATTGCTGGTACATGTATAGCTGTCCTTCGGTGTAACACACTAACTTCAAAGATGTGAAAATGCCATCAACTTATGCCTATGGCCGCTCAGTTCTGAATCATTTCAGAAAAGTACACTCGCATGTTTTTGCTTGCCACATTTAAATTGAATGACTGTGACCTTTGTTTTTCATCACACTAATCTCAACAAGCTTGTACTTCAAGAACATTTTCCTTCAACAACATGTCAGAGGACTTTGTCCCCCCAGACATATTAGTGTAAATGCCTTAGTTTCAAAAGCTTCAGCAGGTCTTTGATTGGTCAGGGCTAGTACTGGAAATGTCAGGGAACATGTACGTGGGCGTAAGGGAGTTGGTTCTTAATCTGTCTTGATCCTCTTGGTACAAAGTCTGGTTTATGGTTGCGAAGGCACAGGAAAAACATGAGAGTATACATGTATTTTGTTCTTTACAGCTCTACAATACATTATTCCTTTCATGTTAGAGGAACCCAAGGAAATATTAAAATGTAGTTTTGTAAAGATTACATTTTGTCATAATCACATAATTAACAGGATACTGTACACTTTACACTAACAAGATGGTTTACAATATGAAATATGAAAATATAATAATTACCTATTGTCTTACCTATCCACAGCTGGTATATCTTACTAAAACAAATTGATGCCACATCATAGACTTAGATACATGTAGACCTAATGATTGAACATGGTAAACATGAAGATTATCAAGTGTTTGTGCATTCTATATTCATCTCGTAGACACACATATACCGGTATACTATAGATGCATGTTTATAGTAAACTATGATGGCAGTTCCTCTCTCTAGTGTTTGGTGTCCTCCATGTATTGCATATGAAGATATACACTACTAGTATAGGAAGTAATATCTCAATGCCAGGCGTTCCAGTAAAAGCCTTTTTTGAAGTCACTTTTCTTAAGCAAGCTGCATGACTCATTTGTTACAAAGTTGCTTGAAAATTCAGGAAAATGTAATCATTCCTTGTACATATATTGTACTTCAGAATGTATTGTACTACAGAATGACATCAATGCACCCTTTGAACTTCAGGTCAGATTCAATAAGGTTGAATTCTGAGCTGTTCCTGTATAATGTATATCCCTGTCAAGATAACCGTGTCGCGATGGATGATACAGAGTCAGAGGGATTTGTTTAGCTAAGCCCTTCCGTGTGATTTGTGAGAGACTGTACAGTAGAAGGCCATACACTACCATAAAGGTCCATGCAGTAATGGAGGATGGGTCATCATTGGTGATGAGGGAGTCCAGTGAAAGACATTGAGTGATGGAGTTGAAGTAGAAGGTTATGGACCAGGTGTGGATGTTAATGGTGTGTTCTGTAGAGGGCCAACTTGGGACTAGTCTTTGACAGATATAGATGTAAGTGTACATACGGTGACTGGAAGCTAAGAGATAAGCAGTAGTGAGGGATGTTCTTGCTACTCAATGTGCTTGTAGGCAATGGAAGATCTAAAGTCTATGGAGGGATGCAGTGAGGGGTGAGCAGGATAATTGTGTACAACTTTTGGCTGGAAAGAAGGCTGTACTTCATCTCTGGCAAGACGTAAGACTTATGACTTTCTCCTTCCATCTGGGTCTGTCCTTGGCCATCTTTTTGACTGATACAGTGATAGCCAGGATAATCCCTTGGATGCCAGGCTGCCCATCACAGTTCTAACTAGACGTTAGTGGCATATAAATCACAAACGGTGTTGAGAGACCTTTGATAATAAGAAAACCAGATATAAATCACAAATGGAGGTGAGAGACCTTCAGTAGTCACAAAACCAGATCTAAATCACAAACAGTGATGAGAGACCTGAAATAATGAGAAACCCAGATCTAAATCGCAAACGGTGGTGAGAGACCTGAAATAATGAGAAAACCAGATATAAATCACAA